TATGGGTTTAGGGGTTTGGGGTTTAGCGGTTTCGGGTTTAGGGGAGTAGAACCACTGACCAGGTTGAGCTGCCTCATGAAGGGGTTTACGTTTTAAGCTTCCGAGGTACTTGTATTTCCATGCCAACTTGTACCGTATCTAAACCCTAAACCCTAAACCAACTTTCCATGAACCCTCAAGTTCACTTCGCAACTCCCGACATTCCCCGCAGCAGACCGGAAACCCCAACGACCCCCCTGCTTAGGTATTGTGCTGATTCCGACAAGGCCGCAAACAAAACCCTTAAGGTCTGATGCACTCAACAGATAGAAGCTTTAGTTTATGTTGGGCCCTGGGGGCTTCGTCTTTAACACACAGAGTTTCCAGGACCACGGGTTGAGAGAATGGCCTTTATCTGCAGTACCGGTTGAAGACAGAAGGGCAGCAGCGACAACGACGACAGTACCCCGGGATGCGAAGCGTCAGCAATGCTGGCGAGGATAGGTTCGGCGAGGATCAGGGACAGGCTTTCGAGAATGATGATGAAGGGCTCATGACAGGACAGGGACCGTGACGGTGACGGCACTATGAAAATTCGGATCGGGTTTGTACATGTGGCAATGGTGGCAATGATGAAGAGATTTTCACAGATGGCGATGATGATCATGCTGGTTTGGTTCTGATGCAATCAAATTTGAGATTGATGGTGGAAACCATGGTTATAATTCCTGAACTAAACCTCAAGAATTGCTTCATCGCTAACCCAGCGTGTAGCACCCCAAAAGCCCTAAACCATTTACTTGGCCTCTTCGGGACCCGAGCCGCAGGAAGCTCAAAAGTTGGAGGAGGAGCTGGAAAAGGAACTGGTGCTTCTCTCAGGGTTCCTCGAAGGGCTTCTATGCGGACTTCGTCGGGTTCGATTATAGCTTATTGGCTAAGTAGTGTTTTTTGTTTGTATGGGCTTTGTACAGCAATCCTGGTTTGACATTTGCCGTCAAGGGTTCAAAGTTCCGGTTCAGGGATCGAACAGCCTGGTGCACAGAAGCCCCCCCCCCCCCCCCCCCCNNCCCCCCCCCCCCCCCAAACCCCGCAGCACTAAATCCTTAACTCTGCACCTCTGAACCGCTTTCGGTTAAAGATCTGAATAGATTGCAAGTCAGGGTTTGGCCTTTACTGCTATCATTAGTATTGTTATTGTTACACTATTGTTATAATACTAGATTGTGATTATTGTTGTTATGCCTGTTGTTGGGATTCTGATTGTCGTGCTCGCGAGGCCTCTTTTCAAGGCCGAAGCCCTGCTGCTTTGGGCAGAAGCCACGGTACCTCCTCATTCTAGACACAAAGCCTGAAATTAGGTTTAGGACTCAGTTTTTTTGTCTTGAACCCATACGCTAAACCCTAAACCCTAAGCCCCATATGATGTACCGACAAGCTACGGACGAAGCAGCTGAGAGGGCAAGTCTTTCGGAGACCCTGAAGGGGGGCAGTGTTGAGACTGGGTTTTGGAGGGTTGAAAGACCTTGGGGTTTACAGGATTTCGGGTTGAAAGTTCGGGCATAAAGTGGCTTAGGGTTTCAGGCATTTCAGGCTTCGGGTTCATCTTGGCCTGGAGTTGACTCTGCGCTGCCGCCAAGATGTCCAAGAAGCACGAGGCCAAGCATGCCGTGAACAAGAAAAAGAAGGAAGAGGAGAAGGTGCCGCCACTGCAGTCGGAAACGCTTCAATCTTGGTTTTCTAAACCCGAAGTCCCTCAATATCCGCATCCTTCCTCTCTTATTTACCCCCCACTGAAGACCTGCGTGCGTTAATGCCCTCAACAGAGCATATTCTGACATGCATCGGTTGGTCAGGATTTGGATAAGGACCTTAGAGTGTTGGGCGAGTAGGGCCTGGCAGGGGCACATGGGCAGGGCATAGGCATCAAAAAGAAATTGAGAAGCATCTCAAAAAAATCATAAGCATCTTTAAAAATTTGATAAGCGCGTTGAAAAATCCTAAACCCTCCATGCA